TCCAAACGCAACAGTTTTATTTGTCGACATATCTACTAAACTAAAAATGAGCCTCCTTACTGAATAACAATGGTGTCAATATATATGTCAGCCAATCAATTGCAGCGTTAGTGCATTTTTCAAGAAACTAAAATTTAAAATTTATCATTTTATTATACTTATTTAGAAATATATTGTATATACATGCATATAGATGCAGATAAATGAATAGCATGTATTTTATATAGTAAATATTAAGTAAAGCAAACTTCACGACTTAACTAAGGAAAAACTCTCGATAATTGTTTTCATATGAGATACTTACTTCTACTTGAATTATGTCTAATGTCATGTGTTTGATTTACATTTTATACTGCAGTGCCTCTTTAACTCTATTGTTCCTTTTTACCTATTTTGTGAAAGTCTATGTTTTTTTTTTTTAAATAACCATTGTAAATAAAAAAGTAAATGCATATATATTTTTAGCGCATTAGTTGCAATTTATCAAATCGGATACGTTCATTCACATAAGCGCTCGTAATTCACTTAAAATCTTTTTAGAATAGTGCATTTCAAATAGCGAATACGCAGTGTAATCCTCTTTCGCATACTTGAAACTTCAGAAACGATACACTGCAAATGCATGACTGTTTACAAAATTTCATTTCATTTCGTTTTATATTTGTATTTTATTCTAAAGTATTTTGTGTTTGTTTTCTTTTCAGTTTCTATTTTGTTGTTTCTTTGTTATTTTTTTCCAGATTTTAGTTTTATTTTTGTATAATTCTTCTCTTCTTGAATATGCTATGTGTCCCATGACAGTGAAAGCAATTCGAAGCACTTGTACGTATGCGAACGCCCAGACTAAGCCTCTTGTTACTCATCTGCCATCCCTGTGGATATGACGCCGTTTCACATTGTTAGTATTTGTGCCCGTTCTTCTCGAGCGAAGACCAACTATCCGCCACTCAAGCTGATATGATGCTACACTTTCACAACAATTGCTTAAGTTAAAAGTGTTTTCCTAACAATTCCCGTTTTTTAAGGCACAAATCCTCCAACTCAGACTCAGCCTCAGACTCAGACTCGATCTCAAATCCGCAGTTACGTTCACATTTACATTTGCCATTGCCAGTGCAATTGCCAGTGCTCTTATGTACTTATTTCTATTTGTATTTGTATTTGTAATTGTAATCGTAATGTCCTAACTCACTTGCATACATGCTTAAATGCAGTAGCGCGTCCTTTACGGTTTAGTATGGGAAAATGGATTTACTTGGTATTCTTTTTCATTTCTTGCGTTCCGTCTATCTACTCCTGTTGCTCGCAGCACAGAGTGCAGCACAATGCACAATAAAATGCAACATTACATCTGATCTAAAATAAATAGTTTCACGCTTATTTTCGTATTATTTGAAATTACAGTTTCGATGTTATTTGTTTTTTTTCCTTATTTTGAAACTTTTGAAATAGGAAATCAAACAAAAAAAACGGAAACACCCCTTAAAAACTAATATACTCAACGAATTTCTTTTTAAAATTAAGTAGTCAATATGAAAGCGAGACAAAAGTTAAAGAAGTTGGTGTTATAAAATTAGGTATTTTGTAAAAATACTCTTCAGATAAGTTTAATTTCTTTACATTCCTTTTTTCCTTTCAAGCATAAACCAATAATATTCTGTATTCCTTCCATAATCATTACAATGTGCGATTTGTTATCAGACTTATTAACATAATATTACTGAGGCTACTACAACCGGAATTGACATTTTACTTTATCGCTATAACTATAGTTCATCACTGTCAACCAGAATCTTGGATTGAAATATAATTCTAAGACGAGCCGCGGATTGGTCGTTGATAAACATATTACAAAATGTTATATATATTTTCTTTTCAAACTCGAATTTCCTTAAAGAAAGTACTCATATCGTTCCTTCTTCTTAGAATTTTCTTAATTCAAAAATTAAAATTGTATAAATGCTATGATAATTGATTGCTTGATAAAATAAAATAAGAGCTTTATAATTTTGATAATAAAAAACTTGAAAACTGATAACATTTTAGAATATGCATACAATAAATCCCCGAAAATCCATATTCATTAAAATTGAGTTCAATCTGAATTATTAACTCATTCGAATTGCAAAAGTCAAATATAGGAAAAGTTTTATATATGTTTATGTATTCATTTTAACAACAGTACTAAATAGAACTGAACAATAATCCAATGCTCATTAAATCAATACTGGACTTGAACCCATTTACCATAAAAAGAACCTTTTAGGAATGATTGGAGAAGATTTCCCCAACAATGTAAAAACTTCATTCTAGTAAACAGAGGAGAGAGATGTGAGTGAGGAGCTCACATCAATCCATAAATGACACATTTACATAATAAATAATAAGTATATAAGCAAATAGGAAACAGAGCAAATAGATATACATACGTAACATACTTATATTCATATGCACATAACCCATAAATATGTTTAGATTATTGAACAGACATATTCATAACATGTGATCCCGATTCACGCATCAGTAGACGATCCAAACTATATGGCTAAACTAGTTTTGTCTGGATTACGAAGGAATTTGAATTACCAGAGGTTTGATTAGTGATGATCTACTGTTTATGTAAAATAAACTGAAATTGTAACATTCTTAATAGATAGCATAAGCTCTCTCAAAACCTTTACATAGTCTCAGAAGAAACTCATACAAATATTGTACTATGATCTTTAAACATTACCTGCAAAATGTAGATCACAATGAAAATCAGCCTACCGTAGATAGTCTAAATTTGTCTGGTGAAGGTCGCTATAACAGTATGTACACTGATAACTATCAAAATTTCATAGAGAAAATAGTATAATCTTAATGCATTACTTTTATAAAAACTCATATAATGTTTATAAGAATCTGAAGAGTAGAGTATGTATTAGTATCATGATAAGCCGCACACATAGGTTAAATTCGGTTAGGTTAGGTTAATTGAGCTGGCCGTAAACCACATATAAATTAATACCTAGCGATAAAAATGGAGCAGGACCTTTGAGTATATTTGTTGAAGACAATATGTAGGATGTCGACGGTTTTCGCGAATTTAAAGAATGCTTAAAACTTTAGTTTTAAGACGTTCTACAAAGCACAAAATGTTGGAACTCCCAGTTAATTTAAGCATGTTCATGATGAAGCAGTACATAAAAAGGTTCCAAAATCTCCTTCGCTTTTTAAATGACCTATATTTGTCAGTACTAGTAAATCCTGTCTTGTAAGTGTATATTGCTAGTGGAATAAGCTAGGAATATAGCCGTCAATATTCAGGGAAAGAAAAAGATTTGAAAATATTAAAAATAAAGTTTAACGTCATTTAAAGAACATTTTAATATAGTAGATTATAGTGGATTATTCTTTTTTTAATTACTCGAGCATGAAATCCTTTTCATGAAGGGTGAACTTTAGTACCAAATGGAATAAAAAAGCCAATCTCAAAGTATTGAAGTCATATTTCATGGAAAATATGAAATTATTAAATATATAACAAAATATAAAATGTGTTTTATATACATATAAGAAAATAGTACAAATGTATATAGAAAATATAAATTCGCACATATTGAAGCACAGACGCATCCATTCGCGTTAACTCAAGTTGCAATGTTATATGATGATGATGAACAATACTACTAGTCATTTTTTTATTATAGATTTTCTATTTTTTGACAGCTTTTCTATCTTATGAGTTTTCTTTTTACGATATCTGTGAATATTTATAAAACCGTTGTAATGACAGATCTTACATGTTTACTAATACAATATAAAAACCTTTTCACACACATTTCTTTTGTTAAAATTTTATAAATAAGATGATGATATGCTGCACTTTCAATATTTCAATCTACATTTGTGCTATTGTAGTGTGACGACATTTAAGAACATGCGAACATGTAATATGTATGCACTCGCACAAATAAGTCTAAGAGCTCCAGTTAAAACTAGCGAAAGTTGCAAATTTTCCCACGTTTTGCTAAGCGAAGGGAATTTTGTATGCAAGTCTGTGGGAGTATTTTGGGGGCTTTAGAATTCCAACAGTCGGATGTTCTATTCCATTTCAATACGAAATTGATTACATTTGCCCTGTAAACATTTCATTTTGTGGTCAAATGCGGTTTCAGTTGATTGGTTGGGTTAGTTACACTTCACACCACCGGACCCATCAACCCATCCACCCATCAGCCCACCGAACGTCCGACCTTAACATTGCTATAAACAATTTTGAATTTTGTTCAAATTCTCATACGATTATTTGCATCTCAGACTTTGTTAGTTTGTTCAAATTTAATGGCAAGTGTTTTTAATTGAATTTTGTTGTTTGTGGTAAATAAAATAAAAAAATAATTTTGATAATGAAAATGAATAAAAATAGTATATTGAAATTCGATTGATTTTTGTAAATAAATATTTTCATATATTGAACCGATCATACTTACAACATATTCGCACGTGTAAAAAAAGTAACAATTATTTTAATACAAAGCATGTCATTAAAAAATTTTGTTCTTTGATAAGTAATATATGGTATTTAAATTGAAAACGGGATAATAGTGTAGAATGTGTTAAAAAGAAAAATTTAATTTTTAATCAATTTATTTATTGGCCTAAATATATAACTTTTTTAGATATCGCCACTTATCCATCATTAGTTGTCTTAGGACTACTATAGTAATTTATTTGAACATTTATAATTTTTGGATTGCAATTGAAACCAGTTTAATTTGAACTATTAAATCGAGTGTTAATATACAATTTTAGTGTATTCGTAACCAACAATAGCACTTAATAACGCATTAACAACAGCTATATAAATTTACTTAACTATTTATTATTAACTATGTAGTCATAATAAATTTAGATTCATATAATATACATATATTTCAAATATATTTTAAGTTAGCGATTAATATAATTTATTAAAATCCAAATTAAAATATTTTTTAATTTTTTTATGCTTTTAGTTTAACTTGAAAAACTGGTCGTTCTACAACTGTTCAACTGTGTCAACTTTTCTTTGGCTTGAACTCTTATTATGAATACCAAAATCCTTATATTGGTAAAAATATATTTTTTTTTCCAACGTAATTAATTAATAATTAATAAAATTTTTTTTTTCTGTAGTTGTGCATTCAACAAAATTGAAGATGATTTTTTAAAACAGTAGGACAACCTCGAGTAATGCTGCTTTTCAGATAAGAATCGGTTATAGCTGTAAAAGTTACTGAAACGACTTAATAAGTGTAATAAAATTATTTTGAAATATTGTACAGTCTCAGTGGCACCATAACTTTTCTTGAAGGAAGAAATCCAACAATTCTATTAATTTTGAATATTAAAGAATTTCCTAATGCTGTCAAAGTACTTTATTATGTTTTAAACATTTAGAGCTTGAACTTCTACGTTAAGTTATATTGAAACAGAAGTGAAGGTTAACTAAATTTATATTTACTCAAAAGCAACATAGAAATAGGAACTTTGAACAAATTGGAGTAAATTTCTCAGATCACAACTTATACTGAAGAAGCGAACTTTATTGCAAATAAATATGTGGAAATATGAAGAATCTGTATTTATGTGTATTTATTATAAAAAATCACCACGTCTATACTTGTCGCTGAGAAAGAGAGTTGGAATTTTGGAACTTGAAGCACCGCCAGCTTTACGCAAAAGACTGAAATGTTCAAAGAATAAAGCCTATTGAAAACATATTCACATATATAAAGCAAAACATTTCTTCAATTATAAAACTATTTGATTCGTTAATTCAAATTAAAGTAGTTAATTCTGTAAAGTAGATTTAATCAAAGCAATATAGCAATATAAGGAGTAACATATACACCTCTTATATCATAGATGTCTAGTTTTTAAGTTATGATTGTAAATGAAAATAGTTTTTAAATATTAAAATGCATGTAACACTTTTCACACATAGTAATAAGTTTCTAAAAATGCATTATTTAACAATAATTATATAAAAAAATAATAATAATAATAGTCAATAATTTAGCGATTTGAGTAATTTTAAAAATTTTTTGGAAAAGCATAAAAGCTTCTACTCTTGAAAAAATCATATATTTTCTATATAATCCTATATTCAGTTTTTTGAAAGCAAGTCGCAAGAATTTCATTCATTCTTAATATTGCGATCTACTTCACTATTCTTAACAAGGCTTATACTTTATAATTCATCTTTATAACTATCCGAACCGAACAATGAAATAGTTCCTTGTAAGGCTTAAAAAAACCACAGTAGCAACGTGAAATGTGCTTTGAACTATATGTATATTTTGTTTTTAATTATCTGATTTATTAACAAAAAATTTAATCTAATAGTATCGCAAAATTTAAATGTGGGTTTTTAAGAATCTACTGTTTAAAAACAAAAAAAATTATATATTAAGAAAAAATAGTATCAATAAACTTTTTTATGAATATGTAATTGAAAACAAAAGCTGCCTTTAGTAGTAGGACAAATATAATATAAGTTATAATATAATATACAATATGATTTATAATATAATTTATGATATAACTTCAATGAAATTAATGTAATTTACAAGTATTTAGCTTGTTCTAATATATATTTTCAATATATTAATATAATTAGTTATTAGAATATGTGAACATTTTTAAGTATATAAATTAAGCCTATTTATCTGTCTTCTATGTATTTTTATATATGTGCGAAATTTTAAATTTAAGAAACTAATTATTATAACTTATTATCTGTAATTAAATTAATTTTAAATTTAAATAAAAAAATTTTGTAATGACTAAAAATAAGAAATTAATGTTATATTAAAAAATATGTGTGAAGTGAAGACGTCATATTCTGTAATTCAATTCAAAATCGAGACAGACTGCCTATTTGAAATATTTACTAATGCGATTTCTCTTGCAATGTTGTAATAATAATAAACAAAAATAATATGGCAATAATATGAAATAATACAACTTTTGTTAATTTGTAAAAATTATATTTTTAAGTTTTAAGTTTTTATGAAATAGTAGAAATATCTGTCTTCAAATTTTATTGCCTCCACAAATTAGTAGACAAAACATAGACTATGTCGGGCAAGTGGGTGCATGTTGTAATAGCAGAAGATCTCAATAGGTTCCTTAATATATCATAAAATTTTTGTCAATGTAACAAATTGTAAGGACCTTGGTATTAAGACGATAGAAACATATGAGATGCGATTTAGGTGATAATAACCTAATGTTATCACTTCTTTGTTGTTGTACAATGGTCAGAAACAGACTAGGTGTTTGAGTATATATGAGTAATTGCTTATCAGAGTTTGTTAAACGTGGCGAATGGATTTTTCTTGCCTGTGAAAACGGGTGGTTCCATTACGTAGAAGTGATTATTCTTGGAATTAATCTTTATAGTTAATTACTGTATTTACCGTTTATCGCAATTGGAAAGAAATATCTTATTTTATATTTTAAATTTTGGTGTTGCACTAATACCCAAAGATACTTATCTAATCTTGATATATTTACTAGTACATATACTTGTTTTTGTCTGAATAAGGTCCTTTTTGATTGGATTTTTTGGTATTATTATTTTTTTTTGAGAAAAATAATTTTTATAACATTTATGCGTGTGGCGCAGAGCTAAATCTTGTTGGAATAGAACAACAAAATAGGATAGAGGGTCTTTACTTATAAGTCTATTACGTTTTAAAAAAATACGATTGATATTCTATTGTAAGTCATATGTTAGGCAATCGATTTATATACACGGAGTAAGACGATGTTTTTATTTTTTAGTAGATTTTATTAGTATAAAATTCGTAAATGTTTTTGTGAATGCGTATAAATAGTGTGTTTAATAAAAACTTTAATTAAACAATAGGTTTTTGCAATTTCATTATTAAGTCTAACTATAGAATAATCGTAATTAAAAATAATGTTGTATTTCAGTGACAGCTATAATTATTTGACAAAAACTTCTTTGATTATCCTTGAAATTTCTGTTATTATTAAAAATCTTGACATATTGGTGAAAATCATATATAGAATATATATTCTATTCTATAATAAAATTAGGCATATTGTTAAAATTTTTATCATAACATAAATCTTTTGGCAAACGATTATTTTCATAGCAGTTTTTAAAATTTTCACAAAATTACGAGTATCAATGTAATAGAATTTTCTGGGTTCCGTGGTGCTGTGGCTGTGAAAGAGGATAAATTTATATCAAACCATTTTTTTCGCTATAAAACGGATCATTATTAAACAAACAAGGCAGGTAACCAAGTTTTCCTTTAACAACTAAAACTATCTATAAAGTATCTTACAAGTTCAAACAGGCTCAATATTTATAAATTTATAGAGTTTATAAGTATTTCAAACATTTATCATATTTTAAAGGCATTAAGTTCTTTTGGGATTGAATTGTAAGATTGGTGCCACGACTTTTTTTGCTTATACGGTTGTGATATACATAAGATCTTACTTGGAAAGCGCACATTTATCAACGGTGCCGCTATATGCAGTTGGCAGAGGGTCCGAACATTTTTTGCCGGTAGCGTGCACTGGGCTTTATGGTCACAAATTCATCGATTTTTAGATATTGGTCAATTGGTCGCAATTGGTCAAATATATACAGTTCATCAAAGCTATTGTAAATGTGGTAATTGAGAAATTTTTGGCAAAAATATTTAGGCCAAATTATGTTAATAAATACACTTAACAGAAAAAGTCTGCGTACAAAAACTAAATTTTCTACTTATAAAATATTAATAAATAATTTTTTTAGTTACATATATTTTTAATTAATATTCTTATTATATCATTATTATATTTTATTATCTTATTATATATGATAAATTATCATATAATTAAATTTAATAAAAAAATGGTAAATGGAGTCTACGTACAAAGGTTTATAAAATTATATTTTTAGAAGCTTACTTAGTAGCTTTTCTTTTTTATGGCCTCCATTAAACGTCTTAGCATCTAATTAACCAGCTTTGGAAGTTCATCACTGCTAACTTTCGACTATTACTTCTTCACCTTCTCTTTAGGAAAAAGCTTTATATTATATATGACTCTCCAATAAATCCCGTAGTTGTTCTATGGGTTTCAAATCTAAGGTAATTGCGGTGGAGTTTTAAGTTGTTTGGAAACTTTTAAAACTAATTAAAGTTTAACAATTTCTGCCGTATACTTAGTCATTTATTTGTTGAAATATATACCAATTCCTTAGTTTCAGCACCTCGGCACTGATTTGCATACTGAGTTTTAAGATTTTCAAATAGTTCATTTTATTAATGATCGACTCAATAAATTTCATTTTTTCTACTTTATCACTCCATCAACTGTTGATGGCAGTATCCAAATTTCGTCAAATAATCTATCGACATTTCATACCAAAGAGACAGGAGTTTCTTTCGCCTGAAAAAAGGTCTTCATCTTAATCTAGAATTCCTCTTTTTATTCCTTTCTTGTACGTAGAATTTATCTACCATACGCAGCGTTGATTTTATTGTTGCAAACTTAATTATTATAATTTTTCTATTAAAAATTAGCCATAATTTATAGCTTAAAATGAACGTAAGAAATAAAAGTATTAATAAAATATATAAGTTATTAAAAAAAGTAAATACATAGTGATTTTTTTAAAGTACAAATCTAATATAATTTTTGTACGTAGACTTTTTCTACTAAGTATATGGAATTGTATATGAAATGTTGCAAAAAACGAGGGATTGCTCACGCACAACCAGAGATGTTACAAAATTATTTTGTATTATTTTATATGTCTTATAGTATTGAGCCTCCATCGCCAAAATTAATCTTGTAAGAAGAACAATTTGGTGTAACGTAGTAGACTACCTTGGGTGATCTTTTTAGATTGCGGTGTTTTCATAGTGGTGGTAGAGGTTATATATTATTTTACTTCTAATGCTATTATATGATGTAAAACTGATCATTATTGAACGAATACCGCAGGTAATTACAATGTATTAATAGTTAACCGTTTAATTTTAATTTTTTTATTAATATCTCAAGTAATTAAATAATGTGTTTACATTGCATATTGTATGTACATACAAATTTTTTTCCTGTTGTCCTTAAATATTAATTGTTTAAAAAAGTTAACTACTTAAGTCCGTAAATATTCTATAATAAAGTTTCACTTGGATATAAAAATGGCAATGGTATGGTATTGCTATTTTATTACATCAATGTGTTAAGGGTATTGTGAAGCGTTATACAAATTAGTTCACTATTAGAATTTTATCAAGCTCATCAAATCGTACATAGTTATATATATATTGTATGAGCATTAATATGGTAGTTAATACTTAGTTATTGATATTGGTACATTATAAGCCTAGTTTGAAATCGCATTATGCATATACTCACTAAAATAATATGTTTTAATCAAAAAGTACTACCAGGGTTGACTACTAAAGCTTTTCGTATCTAAAGTTATATAATAATAGTATATATGAAAGTATGCATTTTTTATGTAGTTTTGTGAGGAAAATATGACTGATTTATTGTTTATCACTTCATCTGACTAAGCAATAACTGACCTTAGATCTGCATACCTCCCTGAGGAGTCTGTAACCATTCTGAGATTCCATAACACGGTGTTCGTAAACCTGTCAGTTTTTGTAAATAGTATCAGAGCTCTGTCCTTTATATATTTTTTGATCGGATCAATCTTGAGGTCCCTGAGGAAGTCATTCGTCTTAATATACCATGGCATGTTGAAGAGTCTTCTCAGAGCCTGGCTTTGTACAATTTTCGGCTGGCGAATAGTAGAGTTTGAGACGTAAAGTTACAAACAGTGAACGAAAATAAACAGTACAGTTTCGTAGTGTACTGATCATATCCGAAACACATTAAAAAATATTTAGAGTTTGTGTTCACCGACACATTATCTTTATTTAAAAACATAAACAAAATACGTGCAATACAAATACAAACAATTTTTTTTTCTTATACAAACGAAGCAACAACAATATACATTGAAAACCTCTCAAATCGTTTTGTTCGACGGATACTAAAAGAACACTAAAAACACGCTACCTTCGAAAGAGTTGGCTAAAAATACACTACCTTCGTGAAAAGATCGTTAAAAACATCACTACTTTCGGGAAAAGAACACAAAGCGAACATTAACAATTCGAATACAAACTCTAAAAATTTGTTGATGTGTTTTGAACTTTTTTTAGTGTACTGTTTGTTTAGTGTACAGTACACTATGTTCGGTACTTTAGTGTTTGTTTTCGTTCATTGGTTACAAATATCTTATGTTAATTTAATGGAAAATAAAATTAATAAATCTCATTTAGCTGCATTTTTTTGGAAATTTAAATTTAACTTCATAGATGAATATATGTCAATTGCCTGTAATAAAAAATAGCTTATTTTACTTAATAGATAATAAAGTTTAAAATAGTTGTATGGTAAGTAATTAGCTTATTCGTTCCACTTTATGGGAAGTAATGCATTCGATTATTTGTACGGAAGAGGGATACGCAGGAATGAAGATTTTGATTTCAAATTTGAATGTTTTGCGCAACCATTAGTCGAATTTTAGACTGGACCAAAATTGATTTCTCAGTTTATTTCATTCCCTGATTTTTGCGTCTTTCTGCATTCGTCACTGCTGGTTTATTATATTATTATTTTCTATTATTCAGTACTTTTCGAAGTGTTTAAACCCTTCGGCCGAGTAATTTCATTAATACTTTTCTGTGGAATAGCTCAAATATATTTTCGTTATGATCAGAATTCTTTTAACTATTGTAATTGACTTAAGCTTGTATTGGATTTTTTAATTTTTTTTTGGTTTTTCTGTGACGATCTATTTCAAATTCTTAAATTATATTTGATGTACTATTCTTGGCACTATGGTATAAATCCATTCAACATTAATACAAGTAGGAGTTAGGAGTTTTGTTAATTATATGCCGTAACATATCATAGGGATATTCATGTACTTGTGATAATCGTTATTTTGAAAATTGTGAACCTGGATGTATATTATTTTTGCCGTAAAATAAAACGCTTCCGAGGTACAACGTTACACAGTTACATCGGGATTAGGTCTGGTACTTATTCGGCATTTGGTGAGAAAACAGCATGGAATATTGGATTTGTTTGTTATTAAAAGGTTTCAAAAATTTTTATTTATTTTGATATATATATATATAGATCAGAAATAATAATATATAAAGTATTGTAAGTAAAAATTGGAAGTTAAATAGATAAATATTTCACTGAATGCTTTTCTTGACTTTCCTTGCTCTATTGAACACAAATGAGCAAAAAAAAGTATCAACTGATTGGAATTTTACAAATCTTGCCGAAAAGGCAATGAACAGATTAGTTCAGGCGTCTATTAATTTATGACTTTCACATATGTATATTCAGTTATCGTGCTATTAAATAACGTATAATGTTTTTATGTCTGATTAAGATATAACTATGTCTGACATATATCTGGCTCAAAAAAAGAATTACCAAGTAGTAAATGACATCCCTGTCTGTAACAACTAAAAACTTATAATCCAAGCTTTAAACAACACTTAACTTGAAAAAATACATTATAAAAGTCAGCTCGGTTTCATTTCTCTCTTCAGTTTCCTTAAGGGTGTGAATCGAGTTACTTCGGTGAAGTGAGTTTTGTGTGAATATTTGTTCTTTGTGAAATAAAATTATTTTGCTGCTTTCAAAGGTAATTAAAATAATTAATACTTTTATAAATTTTAGATTTATTTCAGTTTTAATTTATTGTACAATATTGTGTCTATATATTGTTGTGCATATACATTAGCCGTATATGCGCAATAATATTAACATAGTATTTGAGAAATTTTTTATATTCCTATTTATTTAAAGATTAGATATATTATTAAGTGAGTAAACGATTTTAAAAACGTTAATAAAAGAAATATTCTTTTAAAATTATATAGGATCGTGAGCTTTTGTGTTGGTGCTCCTATGGACACACCCTTCATTCCGCCATCTTATATTACAATACTATATATATGTATATATATAAATATATATGTATTTATATATATATACATATATATATATATATTTATACATATATATAGATATTGTCATATTTCTCTGATCTTATTCATTTAACAGCTTCTAATTTCTCAATCCTCTGTCTTGTGACTATATAAAAAGTTTTAAAAATATTAAAGAAGGTTTCTTCATTAACCAAGCTATACTTATGGAAGTTTTTGATTATATTATTTATTATTATTCGTGTATTCAAAAGATCTTTAATTAAAAGTGCATATATATAAAGATTATATATATTAAATTCAGTGTTGGTGCTCTTATAGATACTCTCTACTTTCCGCCATATTGAATTTCATCACAATTTGCCCTTGGCAACAGAATATGATATTCAGTTGAAAAACATGCTGAGGCAACTTCATTAGAAACTTGTTCAATATATATATATGTGTGTGTATATGTATATAAATATTTCATCAGATATTTTTGATCTGAGTGTGAATTGTTGTTGATATAAAAGAGTTTAAAGATTATAAAAAAGTGCTGTCTATAAGCCAAATCACACTTACGGGTAATTTTAGTTATTTCGTGGTTCAGAAATCTATTATTTTGTGTTATAAATATTTAAGATTTATATTTTGAATTTATATTAAGATACATTGAATTTAGTGTTGGTGCTTCTATGGACACACCTTACATTCCGCCATCTTAAATTTCATACTTATATAATTACAATTATATATATTTATATCATAACATATCTCTGTGTTATCACGTGCTTTATTTAATAGAGTTTCTAACTTTTTAATTCTTAGTTTTGTGACTATATTAAAAACCTTTTTGAAATTAATAAAGAAGCTTTCTTCATTAACCAAGCTACACTTATGAGAGTTATTGATTGTATTATTTATTATTATTCGTGTATTCAGAAAATCTTTAAATAAAGTGTATATATTTATATTAGATATATTAAATTCAGTGTTGGTGGTCCTATAAACACTCCCTAGTTTCCGCCATATTGAATTTCATCGCAATTTGCCCTTGACAACAGAATATGATATTCAGTTGAAAAACGTGCTGAGGCAACTTTATTGGAAGCTTGTTCAATATATATATTTGTGTGTGTGTATATGTATATAAATATTTCATCAGATATATTTGATCTAAGTGTGAATTGTTTTTGTTATGAAAGAGTTTAAAGATTATAAAGAAGTGCTGTTTATAAGCCAAATCACACTTACGGGTAATTGTAGTTATTTTGTGGTTCAGAAATCTATTATTTTGTGCTATAAATATTTAAATTCGTGTGCTCATTTAATATTTAATCGTTTGTTCAAATATTTATATAAGATACATTAAATTCAGTCTTGGTGGTTCTATGGACACATCTAACATTCCGCCATATTGAATTCCTTGGTAATAAAATTGTGTCCTTGGCAACAGTAGATAGAATTCAATTAAAAAGCTTCGATACAACTTTATTGGGAATTCAAAAAGAACTATGTGTTTGCATTGCTTATTAAGATGTATCATTTCGTATTTCATTAGACGTCTCCGGTCTAATTCCATATAATGCCTAAAATGCATATGGTGTTTGACTTATTTAGCAGTGCTATCACATTTGTTATCTTCGATTTTATAACTATAATAATCTATAAATTTTAAAATTTGTGAAATTATTTTAATGAAGAAAGCAAATTTACAAAATTGTTGTTGCAGACGTTTTTAGTTATTTTAAAGAATAGATATACTATATCTTCTTTTGTGATATTGAAACGAATATGAGATATATTGATTTTAGTGTTGGCGCTCTAATGGACACACCCGTCATTCCACCATCTTAACTTTCACAGTTCTAAAATTGTGTATAATTGACAAAGTCATTCAATTATAAAATGATATTTTTTGTGAAACAAATAATTAAGTTTATAAAATATAAGTTATAGAATAAAAAATCTTTCGCAAAAATTTTTAACAGTTTAATATACCATAGATATTTTAGCTAATTCGACACAATAAAAAAAGATTCAGGTGTGAAGTTCTAATTAATAGGTTGTATGGATATACCCATATATATATATATATATATGTATGATAATTCCAAGAAATATGTAAAAAAGATTTTTATTAAAGAGTGAAATTCTCCAAGATATTTCTTTGTTGGAATAGTGTTTTAAAGTATTGACAGGCGGTCATGGATAGTAAATTAGTTTAAGATCATTTATACGATTGTTAATAACAGTGATAAGAAAACTAGTTTATAAAAATAAAAATAATGCTTCTTTTAATTGTTACAAAATAATGAAGAATTAAACACCGAATACAAGACGCCATTTTGTAAATGACACACCTAAAAAGTTTTGCTGTTAAATTAATAAAAAATTAATAAAGAATTTCTAAGAATAAAATTTCTCTGGAATTAGACTGATTTATATATTATTTTTTTCGTTTCAGATTATACAAAAATCACGTACACATTTAAGAGCCAATTTTTGTGCCTTGTCACTTAAAATCGGTAATCAACACAACACAAAAAGCTATTGATAACCATTTTGGCATTGTAAATTTTCGTTACCAAATTATTTTTATGGATTTTATTTACCTATTTTTCTTAATACAGATATACCATCCAATTTTCTGAAATCCAGCTTGGATATACATCAATTTTTTAGAATCTTCGATTACAAATACTTTCCTATTCGTACAACCATGATGTCTCGCGCATATTACAATTACCGTGCCCTTCTTGCTCAACATGCCCATCGCTATCCTGATATGCTACTCTCTTTGAATAACATTATTGATACGGGTGCCGTTTTGACCATTCAGGAGCGTAATATGATATTGATAGCTTATAAAAATATTGTAAGCGAGAATCGTGCTGCTTTGAAAATGTTTACGAATCCTCTACCAGATGAGGAATCTCTTGACGCCGAGGCTAAGTATCGTTTAGCCGATCGCTATCGCCATCAAATTGAAAATTTTATTACGGTCGATTGCAATCGTGTCATTTTCTTGATTGACACTGAACGTTTTCCTTGTCAAACTCATGAGCAAATGATTTTTAACTACAAGACTCTTGCTGACTATCATCATTATCTTTGTGAATTGGACTCTAATCGCTATCTTGCAATTTGCATTCAACGTTGTCAATTGGCATATGAATCGGCATTCCATGCAGCTATGCAACATCTTTCACCAACTAACATTCTACGCATGCGTATTGCTCTGAATTTCTCCATTTTCAATTACAACATTTTACGTGCAACTGGTCATGCCATACAGCTTGCCGCTACTGAGTTGTCTCGTGCAGAGTTGCAAATGCAACGTTATCCAAATGATGATTATGCTGGAGCACTTTATATTCTAGAGGAGCTTAATAATTGCGTGACCCTTTGGAATACAAATGACCAACCAAATGGAGATATTTGTGTGCTTTATGTAAAGGATAATTTCAAAATGAATGGCGATACAGATTCTGATAATGCGACTGCAACTAATTCATTATCAAGCACAACATCTAAAGTTCAGTCTGAGCCTGAGCCTGAGTCCGATTCTGATGATAAATCTGAAACTCATTCATCAATGAGCGCATGCAGCGAAATTGATCCAGCACAACAACGTGCAGCTGAAGAATTGCAGCAAATATTAAACGTTGTTAATCCTAATGGTCGTAATGAAAATGATGAGGTTGACGATAACAAAGACGTTGTTGAAGATGAGATTGAAGATGACGAAGACTATGGCGATGAGAATGGCGATGATGATGGTGAAGAAGATGACGCTGAGGATGGCGATGAAGATGAGGATGAAGATGATGATGATGATGACGACGACGATGGCGACAACGATGAAGATGGCGATGAGGATGAGGTTGAGGAAGAGGAAGAGGTAGAAGATGAAGATAAAGATAAAGAAAACAATGATGTTAAGGATGAGAATGAGGGTAATGATAAAACTGAAGCAAAGCCTGAAGGAGAGTCCGAGGAGAAGCTCGAAGATAAGCCTGAAGAGAAGCCCGAAGATAAGCCTGAAGATGAGGTTGAAGCTAAGATTGAGGAGGAGGGTGAAGATGAAAAGAAGGTTAATAACATCACTAACCATCTTGATGAAGTTGATGAAACTGATGATTCCGTTACCGAATCGCAAAAGTATACTCTCGTTAATGGCGAGAAAGATGAAACTATCTAAAATATTTAAAAGAAATTTTACACAAACACAAATCATCGTAACCATTATTTTGTGTTAAAAATTTAAAGTAAATTCATACAATATATCTTAAAAATTAAATACATACTACTATATTCCACTATGTTCTAATATATATATATCCAATATTCCATGTGTTAATTAAAAAAAAAAATGGAGGCTGTGTTCGCTTATGAAATACTATGTTTAGATAAATTATATATGTCACAAAATGTAAAATTTATTTCAATAAAATTGACGACGGCTCCAAAATGTTTTATGATTTTATATTTATATTATGTCCAGGTTAAATTTATATATTGCATATTTCATATATATTTACATTTTAGATTTTAATGGTACCAGTGTTGTGTGTCTTCAGCTGGGGCTTCTTATTTGTTATTTATATTTACAAGCAATTTAATACTTTTTTTAAAGAGTTATCACATTATTATCACCACAGTTAAGATGCTCGCCATGGTGAGTACTGCAAGGCCTTGACGTGTCAAATATTTTGGATTCGAGGGCAACTGTAAAGCATTTGTAATTGATTATGATTATGAATACATTCATAAATATTATTGTAATAATGTTACATTAAATTAAAATTAATTTGTTTATATTGTAAAATTAAAATTAGATTTTAGCATAAAAAATATACTTATAGTTTTGGCCTATTGGGTAATCACAAATGGTTAATTGAATATTGTGAATCCGATTGGCCATTGCTAATACGTGTGTTTAAAATCATCGAAAATTGGTTTCTTTATTTTATTGAATATATTTCTATATATTCCTTTCAGCTTTAGTAAAACTGCATCAACTAACATATATTCTCTTTTAATATATAGGTGGCTGTGTACTATTTGGATAGAGGAGGAAGATTTACGCCGGCATTTTATATATTCATTCATTTTCATTTAATTTTTTTGCCTAACTTTTTATGATCGTAGGTGCTGGTACTGATGGATAGTATTGTTAGAATTGTTTTCCGAAACCTGAATGTAGATGGTAAAGGCAATTAAATATTTTATTTTTAAATTGTGAAGTCAACAACTGATGTGTAGAACTGCAAAATTAGAAGAAGACCAATCACCCGAGCTGCAAAAATTTTATCGGTGCATGGTCTATACTGAGACAATGATTGTCATAATGTCTATAAGATGTAAAATTATCTGGATTTAAATTAATAGTTTATAAATGTATTGCAAATAATAATATAATATGTAAATATATAATGTAAAATGTAATTTTAAATGTGCGTTAATTTCATAAAATTTTAATAACAAATGTAATTTAATTTTTTTTTTTTAAATAAATGTGTTAGCTAACAGCACCAAAAACCTTAAAGGAAATAAATGTAAATACAAACACATTAGCAATTTTACAAAAGTATTTTATTTTTTTTTAGCAGATATATTTTATTTTAGCAAAAATATTCATAGCATGTGTAATTTATATAAAACAATTTTAAACCTCGGTAGCTCAATTGGTAGAGCGGTAGACAATAGAGTCGCAAACTAACTGCTGCAGTCTGAGAGTTAGCTGTTCTAGGGTGGAGGATGATTAGACAAGTTTCTCATTTGGTTCTCTAGGGTTTAATGCATATTTACATAGACTTTAAAGAACATAAATTTGTGACATTACAATTCTACGGGTGCGGGTTCAAATCCTGTCTGAGGCAATCTTTTTACAAACATTTTTTTTAATTATTTAAAAATTTTATAAAATATTTTTAAATAATTACATATTTTTTAATTATTTTAAATAAAATAGTTTTACATGAAAAATTAGTTAACTTACTAATAGGCAGGGAAGTAAGGCATTGTATTAACATTTTTTTACCATCCCTAAAAGAAAATAATAATTCCAGACATTTACTATTCCCTATGACAATTACACAGTTACGGACATTAATAGTTAAGTAAATATTAATGAAATTCATATAAAATTAATAAAAACCAAAAATAATAAAACTGCATTTCATGTATTTATTTCTAGCCATTTCGCAAGGTTGCAATTTTTCGTACTAAACAGTAAAATATGTACTTTGATGTTATTATGAGCTACTATTAATTGATACTTTTCAATATTTCCAATGATTCAGATATGTTACTTGTTTTAAATATAGTAAATAAATATATTTAACAGATTTTTGATATGCTAATTATTTTTCTCTTTCAAATTATACTTTCAACTTTTGAAGCAATAAATAGTTATTGGGGTCTGGATATAGTGAACAATGGAGCTGGTTAGATAATTTAAAATAATAAACTTAAATTTTAGCCCTACTGATTGTCAACATGAATTGGTGTTGAAAAATAATGGTTTTTCATTTTTCCAAGTGGTACTATGTTTGGTCGATGTTTAATTGGTCCGGTAATGTTGCATAGATAACGCTTTTTGCGATGTTGTCAATTAGTAACACTCCCTCAAAAAGCAATAGCCTTGACTTTTGTCTTTTTCATTTCCGAAAAATTCTTCCAATTTTTTCAATATAATGTTTTTATTTATTCTTCGGTCTCCGAATGTGTCCAAGTTTTATCCATGTTATATCACAGGTAAATTAACGTTTCGGGTTATCATTTTCACAGGTGTTGTTATTTTCATTTGTTTATATACCCTTCCTGTAAAATTTGAAACTGAAAGCGACATATCATTTCTACATTTTCGTATCAAAAACATATTGATAATGCATTATAAAAATTCATTTCATATTATTTTAATTAATTTAATTAATTTAATTTTAAGCTGACCATACAGATGTTTCGAGTATTGCCAAATATCCATCACCAGTGGTCATGGGAATAATTCTTGTATTTAATTTTTCGTAAATAATTTTTTTTTTTTCAGAGTCAGCTCACCTTACCGATCTGACCCAAAGTCAGCCCTAACGATCTGACATTTATGTTCGCACATTTTTCTGGAGCTTTTCTGGAGTGCTGTATTAAACAAAATGTATTAAATGAGAAATGTAAGCTTTGATGACCGCTTTTGAGCTCAAAGTTGAATTTTACCCCGAAGTTCATAGTGTGAACGTGGTAATATACGCAATTTAAACTTCAGTTTTATGGCTGATATATTACTTATATACAACAATTTAATTACATATATACACTTAACATATATATCGACAGATAAAATTATAATGCTACCAGTAAATCAGATATACTCAACATCAATCGGAGTATATATAATCTGTTAAATGCGAAAATCTGAGTTAAAAATTATTAATGTCGAATGCAACAGATTTGATCTAAACATATTTTTGATTTGTAACTTGACAAGTGGCCCTGAATTTACAGGGCCAATCCGAAGTGGATATACGGAAATATATGGATATATGGATATAGGGACATTTCTAACATTTACAAGACCAAGATAGAATTATGTTCCACGATGTCTTTTAACATGAATCCTCATAGTTGTGGGTATCATTATTATAATCAGACTATGCGTAGAGAATACTACTTTAAAAAGACGAACCGAAATTGCCACATGTGATCATGTGTGCAACCATTTGTATGGAATCATCCACTTGCAATCAGAAAACAATAGATCAATTGACCAACTGTTTGGATTAGATTGGTTTCGGCTATTCAGTATAGACGTACATAGACAGAATATAATTTTAAAAGCAGTTGCATCGATCAGCAATATACTGATTATACATTAACTGTGTGAAGTCGTAGAAATGAATAAAAGAAATAGGAGAAAATCACTCATTTACATAGTCTGTGCCTGGTATGATGGAAAAGGCAATTGTCCTTCATAGTTTCCATTAAAGATATTGCTTGCTTTATTTAAGCAGAAAATGAGTTTCCTGGTTTAGGATAGCAGGACTAACTAGGACTAGCTAGTAACCTGTTTGTTATTGTGCTCTAAAATCTTCGTGTGGTGCGATTTGGTTAGAACTTGGCATCTATCATCTACACTTTTAGGCTGACATAATTGTTGTAATTATTTATATATCAAATTATTTATTTAAATACTTATTTATTGATAAATTTATTTATTTATGTTTATATTTTTGTTAATAAATTAGAATTTTAATGTTCCTTTTTGTTAATTTTTTTGTTGTTACGTTTACGTTTAGACTTAGACCTCTTTAGTATATTTGTACATGGACTTTGTATGGATTTTATGTGAAAAATTGTATATATTGTTGCAATTTATCACTTTAAGTGCAAGATGTGAAATGTAGCATAATAAAGTGGCATTTCTGATTTAATAATGTGAAATTATATAATTATTATTTTACCTAAAGATTTGACAATGAATTATTTGCGGGTATAAATCCAGAAAGCTTCGATAGTTACTATTTCAATCGAGTTTCGACGATAAACGTCTTCGCCACTTACTATTATTGTACACCGTAACCCTGACTTCGGCGTAAGTCTTCGTATCTAAGTTTTATACCCGAAGTGAAGGAACTTCTGATTTATATAAGTCGTAGCGGTGAAGCAAGTTGTTTCGATCCCTGTGATTAGTGTTTTGAGTTTTAAAATAATTAAAGAAAAATATAACTTATTTAAACTACGTTATTGGTAAGTATATATAAATGTATAATATATAAATTAACCAAATGTAAATTGTACAGCTCAAGGATTTCCAGCTAGAAAAAAATTCTCTTAGGGACATAATTTCTTAATAACTGTATACCCATAGTTAATATATTTTTTGTAATAATTTTTTACTTTTATTTTAAAAACGAAGTATTATTTATTCGAAATACAAAAAATATGTTAAACATAAAGTTTATAACAATTTTGCTAATATGATATGTCAGCCTTTTTCGAAAAAAAACTTTAAGGTGTGTTTTTTGGCGAAAAACTGCGCTGTCAGTTTACGCAGACATATTTTTTTTAACGGTGTATTGGTGTATATGAGACCTCTATGTATATATCATGACTTACTTTAAATATATATCATATGCGTATTTCAACTCGTAGTGTATGTGGCTTAGTTTCTTTTCTAAAAATGTGATAATAAATAGAATTTTTATAAAATAGGATTTATAATCGTTCCAAAATTTTCAATACATATCAGACAAATTCTCGATATATAATACATATATATATATATATACATATATATATATATACTGGACACTTATAGTTGTCTCATTTGTCTAGTGGAATACGATTGTATTAGTGCGTACTATACTTAATGTGCTTTATAGTATATACATGTGGCGTGATATAATTTTGATTTATATAATTAATAAGAGGTTAGAATATTAAAAAATTAATTTTAAAATGTTTTTAAGTTTGAATTTTAATGTTATAATAAAATATCTATATGCTATATATAGTGCTATTTGGAAAAGAATTCCTTTTTGTGGTAAAAGTGAGATGTTTTTTATATAGTCATGATGTTTGAATATTTTGCTTTATTATAGACACTTCATTTTGCATAGAATCCTTTTGACATGATTGAAGCAAGAGCATAATTAGGTACTCATAAAACCTCTAAGTTCAAAAACATTTTCATAAAAGTTGAAACTGACAATAATCCTGATGTACCACATCTCGAGAATATATATTGGGCGTGGTAATAGACATAATAGACTCAAATTGTAAAGTCTTTTGGGTTATAACCAAACTTGTACAAGATCTGACATTATATTGGTGGTGTACTGTATTTTTTTTTACATATCTTTATAGTTTGAATAAATAATTCAATTTGTTCTGTTGAGGACAGTACACTTCAAAATTATTATTTGAATTATCGTGGTATTATCTGGTATGATAAGTCAACAAAAACACAATTCTTTTGAAATTTCATCAAACAGAGGGAAACTCCTTTTTTTTTTTGAATATCAGCTAACGAATTATCTTGAACAGTTTTATTCCTATTTCATGACTTATTGCTTTTAATATGTTGTAGGCAACTTCTATTGATGATCCATGTTTGGAAGTGAAGCATTGAACTGTGAAATTGTTTCATTGATTTAAGAAATTTAACCATGGTTTTTCACGTAATTGTTAATTGAATTTGAAGACTTTAATGATTTGATAAGTTCAGGTTTTTAATCATTTTATTTTTATTCATTTCAACTGGTCTTCCAAAATATATTAATATCGTAATACAAAAATTATTAAAACAAAATGTTGCAGACAAGTATCGATACTGCCATTCTGTAAATGCATCTTTTCCATTCATTAATGATATCCATTTCAGTTTTTCTAAATGAATAAAAGGTTTTCCTTCCTCAATTTATAAAAAATGTTTTGGATCTACAAACAGCAAGATTTTTTTTCTGATAAGTTTGCATGTAAGTTTTGACATAACCTAGAATTCATAGAACCTATATCAGATTTTTTGGGGCAAAGAAGCTTAACTAACTACGATACTCCTCTAGCAATGTTCATAGTTGGTGTCGTAGAAAACCTTTTTGAAGGCGATTAAATTTTTACGTAATTATCAATGAAATGAGCACTTAGAACGTTGAAGTACTAACTCGAGATATATCGCTGATGTAATTTAAACAGTTGTCTTTGAAGAAGTTATTAACATGATCGTTGTCACGTACTAATGATATTACATCTAAGCAGTGTTTGAAGCTATTACAGCGTAATTCAATACATTATCTGCAACATTTAAAATTTAAGAAGAAAATACTATATATGCAAGAGAAAAATATGTTCTGTCACCACAACCACAAATCAGTTCAGCAGTTGCTTAAATGACGGTATAACGTTATGAGATTAGGCCATGTTTATAAATAGATTAGCTTAGATTAGGTTAAATTGGCCGCCTTGTGCATAGAAGGTCACTCAAGCACAAATAATGACTCATTGTGATGCCACGGATGAGACATTGTCCGTAAGTCAGATAATAGAAATCACTTTGAAGGTAGATGTCCTAAACACCTAGCGTACGTAGGTGTTTAGGGTTTCACATTATGAGGCGACATTATGAGGCACTAATATATCAAATTGACAAAAACTTTTTAAGAAGAAGTTTTAATCTAATTTATATTAAGAATACTGTACTGTTGCCGGCAAGTATATAGAGTTCAAATGAGACTATAACTATCAGCAAAATTACAAATACTTTAACTTATCACTGCTAGTTATAAGAGAGATCTTTGATCCTAATTAGTAGATAAAGAAAATAATTAGTAAATTAATTGAAAATAATGATTTCTAATTTCTTCATATCTTTTCAGTAAAACTGCGAAGTAAAACTCGTATACAGTGAAAATTATCCACACGTCAATAAAAAGATTTTCATTTAGCAACACTGAAAATGTAAGCTTTATATATTATATAAAACTTGTAACTAACATATTTATTTATTTATATTTCTTTATGTGGGTACATCATCCATTTTTTCGGATACCAGCTTGTAAAAATGTATTGATTAAAGTTATTAATTATTTGTATTCAAAAATAATTGATTTTATATTCCAGCAACAATGATGTCTCGCGCATATTACAATTATCGTGCCCTTCTTGCTCAGCACGCCCATCGTTATAGTGACATGCTAATCTCTTTAAATGGCATTATTAATATGGGCGTAGTTCTCACCGTTGAAGAGCGCAACATGGTGTTGGTGGCATATAAAAACATTGTAAGTGAACACCGTACAGCTTTGCAAAATTTTATAACTCCTTTACCGGATGAGTCAACTATGGATTTGGGAACAAAACTCTATTTAGCTGAGCAATATCGTCATCAAATCGAAAATGATATAACTTTCAATTGTAATCGTGTCATATACTTGATTGATACACTTCGTTTTCCTTGTGATGGTTATGAAAATATAATTCTCAATGCAAAGACACTTGGTGATTATCATCATTATCTATGTGAAATCAATACCAATGGTTATTCCGCAATATGCGTGCAACGTTGTCAATCATCATATGAAAGAGCTTTAAATACAGCAACACTGTGCCTTGGACCAGCTGATCCAATACGTATGCGTATTGCTTTGAATTTCTCAATTTTCTATTACAATATTTTACGTGCACCAGGATATGCTGTACAGCTTGCTGTTTCCGAATTGTCTCGTGCGGAACAGTATATGCAAAGCTTTCCAAATGAGGATTATGATGATACCGTTTCTATTGCGGAAGAAATCAACAAATGCGTTTATATATGGAATACAACCCCTCAACCACCTCGGCAGCTTTCAGTATTTTTTGCGAGCAACAATTCCGCGGTGCATGGCTATGTAAATAATGTAAATAATGATACTAAGTCTGCAAGTACACCAGCAGAAATGTTTGAGTCTTCATCTGACTCTGAATATACTTCCTCTTCTGATACGGAAATGAACTCTGATAATAATTCAGATGCGAATAAATGCAGTGTTATGTATCTACCTAATGCCTTTGGTGATTTTGAACCAGAAGAAGAGTTTATAAATATTAACGAACAAGAAGAAGAAGAAGAAGAAAAGGAAGAAGAAGAAAAGGAAGAAGAAGAGAAAGAAGAAGAAGAAGAAAAAGAAGAGGAAGAAGTGGAAGCAGAGGAATTGGAAAATAATATCCAAATGGAAGGTATAATAGAGTTCCCTGAGTCACTTTATGCTGGAAGTGATTCAGAAGAAGACAAGGATGAGATTGATATCATAATTTGTGAACAGGATGAAATTATTTAACATAATTAAAATTATTATTCAAAAACATAATCATTTTTAATAACAAAACATTACTTCATATAACTATTCTATAAGAGTAGTACGTACTTTTTTATTCTATTCTCGTTTAACCCTATGTGTGTTTAATATAAATAAAAAAAATTATTTGGCTGATGTTCGCTTCTAAAATACTATCTATGCATGTACATATATGTATGTAACAGAATGTACAATTTATTTTAATAAAACTGACTACAGCTCCAAAGTGTTTATAATTTCATTACTTATATTATACATAAGTTAAATAACTATTTGAAATTTTTATAAAATCAGTGTTGGGATTTTTTATCAGTGCTGGGTCATACGGTCCAACTCTATCTACCTTCCATCTTGAAAGTCACTACTGGAGATATTTGATGTGTTTCATTTTTAAGTGCCCATGAAAGCATAATATATTGTATTTAATTTATAATACTCTCAGATATCTTGAGTTAAGGCAATTTTATTATTTATTTATTATTTAGGTTATAATATGAAAATAAACTTTTAGTCTTGGTCTACTATATTGATCAGCATCTTTCGTCCTTAATCTTTATTTATAAATTTCTTTACGATGATAACTCACTACAGTTGGATAGGCGTAAATTGTCTGATGATTAAGTGGATATGTTAGAGACCATTAAATGTTTCATATTTGAATTGCCAAAAATCGTGCATTAAATTACAACTGAAATTGATTTTTGATTACAATTGTAGCCATTTCGTTAATATATAAATTAAAAAAATAAATATAACTTTCTTCTCCATAATATATATTACATACAATTTAAGTGGTTTAACAATGAGATTTAACATAGGGTATGTTATTCAGACACCACTTCGAGACTTGATCTGATTTCGATTTTTCCTTAAATTTATCATATTGACGTTAAAGTATTATTTATTGGGACCATCACAAAAATAATTCAATATTTCAAGCCATTGTAGCCATTGTAGCTTCTACAACTTTTGTCAATGATCCGTTTCTGTGACGAAGGACAATATCTCTAGAATGAAATTGATTACCGATTATAAGCATTTAGCCATTTCGTTTCTGTATATAGTTACAGCAATGAATCTTCATAAATACCTGCAGCAGTTTTTTTATTTTTATATAAATAACAATCTTGTGGCTTCCAAGTGCTAAAGTAGTTTTTTGTGAAGCTGCTCTTCCAATTCGGAAATAATGTATCTTTTTAATCTGTTATAAATTCTGCTAGACTAAAATACATTTATACGATTTTATGTGGACCACTCGGTAACGAAAGTAAGAAGCCGATTTTTTAATAAATTTGTGTTAACTTAATATTTGCCATTAGTTGAGTGGTTACGATTTGTATGTCGAAGAACGTTATTTGAAAGCATAAGTTAAATTTCCCGATTTTAGGTATATAGAAATTGTTTGATTTGGCGGCGTTTTAAGCAAGCAAAATTTTTAAACACTCTAGAAGATCCTCAAGTTAAAATAGTTCCATTTTCCGGGGTTTATATATTTTATTTATTTCCATCAAATTTTAAATAACTTCAGTCTTTAAGCCCCATCTGTCGATTTCGTACTATTAGTACTATTTTCATATTTATTGGTTGTTCATATATTTAAAAGGTGATAGCTGTTACCGTATTCACATAAAAATTTGCGTATGAACTCCAAAAACTTATAAATTCTGATATATATTAGTAAGCAGTAGTGTGAGCTGGGGATATTTATAACCGTATTTGTATAATTTTTTAGCTAAATGATGTAATATTTTATTCATTAGCTACAGCCAGCCGATAATGATTTTCTTTTTAATTTATATGAAAATATTTGATTATGTTCATATGAGAATTAGGTATTACCTGATTCAATTATTTTATGAAGTCAATCAATTGATTTACACCCAATTATTTTTGTTTTCTTCCCATCAGTGGTAAGGAATACTGTGTGTTTAACATTTTAACCTTTTTGCTAAATGTGTTTTTTATTATACATATATGTATATTCTATATTTTAATGCCTTTATATAACTATATTAGTATCTAAAAACTTTAATCATATTCAATGTGTATGTAATAGTATATTCACATTGTCTCATTTAGGCACTTGCTCATTAATATTAATGAGGAAACGTTTACATTTTAATAGCTTATTTATGTAGCTAATAGAGTTTTATTAGCTTCACTTAATAATACATAACAAAAAAAATTAAATATAGAATTGATATATTAAATCAATTATATACATTTCATGTATCAATTACATATTCAATGAATAAAAGCAAAGATTTTATTAAATACTTACTTCTTCAGTGTCTTTCTTCACAGCTCAGCTGTTGTTTGTTTACATTTTACATATAAAAATATGACACATATTTTGAATTTTGGTTATTTCCCTTGTGGTGAATTTATTTTTAAGGCTTGCAGTAAACAATTTTAACCTTAAAGGAGTTGATTTATTGATAATAATCTCATTTATATAAAATATTATTGTATGTTAAATCATCCTCATTAGTGGTTATAATGACCAAAACCGCCTCGTTGATACAGTGTGAATGTGCTATGAAATGTGTTACATGTGTTAGTTTTAATTGAAGTAAAAATCTTTTATATATATATTTTATCCTATTTTAAGTATAAGTAAAACTTCTTTTTCATCATTCGCTATGTTCTCTTGTATTACAAGATCTCTGTGATCTTTTTTATTGTAGTATATAGTAAAAAATTCTGTTTTTATGAAATAAAAATAGCAAAAATATATGCTATATATAATATTTTAAATATTTTTGTGTGAAAGATGTTTTATCACAACTGTGATATCTACATAATGTAGGTACACAAAATTTCTCGCACATTGCAAAGTGGTGTCAAAATTTTAATGCAATACACAAAGTAATTTTTATTTATTATTTCTAAAGAAGATAATAATAATAATACAAAAATTATAAAAAATTTTTGATAGGAGAGAAGAAGGATAACATATTTATTAAAATTCGTGAACTTATGAAACTTAATTATTCGAAAATGTTCGATATGCGTGTACATATTTTTGTAGTGTAGAAATTGCATATTGCTTATAATTCTCATGTGCATTTTCGTGAAAATATTTGTGACATGTGTAACTTAAGTCAACTTTTAGCTATACCTGAACTCACAGCCTCGGTAGCTCAATTGGTAGAGCAGTAGACACTTATGTTCGAAATTTGTGTCTGATGAAGATGTTGTGATGTTTGTTTGGAGCCCCCCCCTGTCCCTGATGGAACTGAAATACTAATGATGATGATGATACTCAAAATCTCCACCCAATAGCTATAAGTATAGGATAAGCAATTTGTAAATAAATATAGGATTTATAGAATTTCTGCAATTAGTAAGTAAGCAAATATTGAAAATCTTGAGTGAAGAACGGTGTGATCTAAAGACGCCGGTTCAAATCCGGCCTGAGGCAAATTTTTTTTAATTTTTTTTTTTTGTTCTATTTATTTATATTTTATTATTTATAAATATTAATTTTAAAGTAGAAGACAATTTTCTTATTAGAAACATTTGTACTAAATATGGGTAGAGACTGTTTATATCCGCAGCAATTACGTTATTTGTGATTGCTTTTTACATTAAATTTATATTATTCATTTTTTATATATTGTTTGTTTTTTAGATAAATAAAAGCACAAAAAAAGCAAAATGATGGATAAATGACAAATACTAAGTGTTTCACATACACGTCTCTGAACATCAGAAGCTGACTCCCTTCGACCTTGTTATGAAATAATTCATGTGGCTAGCATTTACTAAATTGACCGATATGCAGGACTTTTAACACGACTTTATCTATCCAAAAAATAGAGAAATCTGTGAAAAGTAAATAGTACAGTTGAATATGAATCGGTTTGACATGCAACACATGAGCAAGATCTTAAAGAAAAACATTGCCTTCAAAGTCAATTTGGAGAACTAATTTCTATGTATTTCAGTTAATCTACTGATTAACTAAATATATTACGCTTACAATTTTTTTTTTATTATAAAATTCTTAGTTTAATAAAATCATAATCCAACTAAGAGAGATTAAAAGGAAATACATATAAATAGTTGCATATAGTGAATATGGAAGGACACATGAGACATGAAATGCTAATTATATGAATTACTTTCGAACACAGGTAATTAAAGTTTATAAAAAAAAAAAAAAAATAATTTATTTTTAAAATATAATATTAGTAATTTTTTCATTCCAGTTATGATGCGAGTTTTCGAAGTACTGTGGGCATTCTTTACTCATAGGAAAGAAATGTGTTTGAGGTGGAATGACGTGGGGTTACTGGAAGCAGTGATGATCGAAAAAAATTTTTTTTTTGCGATTTTTGTAGTAGATGGGGTGTGATTTTTTTCTACTATATTTTAAAATTTTATTCGACAACAGTCATTTGTTTATTTGTCTATTATTTAATAACAGTTCTCATACTTTGTTTTGACCATAAGTCATCAGCAAATATAAATTATTAAGATACTTTGGGATTCGTAATGAGAGTAAAGCTTAATATACCATTTTTAATATACTCATATTTTGGTAATTAATTGATAATCTTTTTTAATAAATCTACTTTAAAGATGTTTAAAGAGTAGTAATATTGTATGCGTGTTTATGTATGTATTTATATAAATATTTACCATTAAGTTTGTTCGACTTGTGCTTTTATATTGCAACTGCCCACGCTTACTTCGTTAAATTTAAGCTGATTGCCGTGCTATATAAACAAGATGAGGTTTAGAAGAGATTGTACCTTTTCAGTCAAGACAGCAAAACTTTTCGGCATCAATTAATAAATTCCTGAAAACGTCAAATTAAAGTCAAAACAATTTCAAAAGTTTTGCATTAATTTAAGGCGCCAAAAAATAACTCAAAAGTTAAATTAAATAAAATTTTATAATAAAAAAAACAAAAATTAAAAGCACAAATAAGCACGATTCATGTAAAATTTCAAAATTTGTAAAAAAGGATTTTTAGTTTTCCTTACTTGAAAACTTGGCAAGGAAGTATCCGTACTTAAAAACAAATAAAATGTCTAATCAATAGATAATAAAAATTTTTGAGGTGGAGAAGTTGAAGTTGAAAGATGGGACAGAAGTAGGGAAAACTTTTCATTTTGATATTAAGAATCTAAAATCCTGTTTCCTTTCAAGCTGAACTCATTCACTACATTCGTATTTTATTTGAAAAAATATTAGATAGAAGACTAGAAGGAAGGCATGACTATATGTCATGCCAATAGAAGGCTAAAAGGCTGAAAAAAATATTAAACAAACGAGGGTTATTTGATAAAAATAAATCGAAAAATCAAAATGTTAATTTTTGATGCAAAGTACTATGTACTTTCACAAGAAATACTGGCTTTCGCAAGTTTCTTATAAAACTTTGGCTGAAATTTGTCAGCAACACGTCAAAGTCTCTGTTATTAGCTGTGCCATTTTAAAATAATTATATATTAAAAATATTTTTTTTTTTAATTTAATTAGTTTATAAAGTTAATTGGGTCAGTTTTTTCAAAAAAAACTTTATTCTTTTAATAAAGTAATTATCAATGTGTTTGTAAACATATATATTGGTGCAAATCTATTTATGGTATATTCTTTATATTATTTTAATTTATATTATGGAATATTATATTAATATTCTTATTTTAAGAAAACGGATATTACATATTTACATATAATACATATTTTTATTAATATAATAAATTTTTGTAAAAATTTGTTAATTTTAATGACCAAAAAATTATTTTAATATTAATGTTTTTTTGTTGATTATCAGGTCGATTTTATTTTGACTAAAAACTATGTTAAACATCTTGGTTTTTCCTTATAATAAATTTAAATTAAATTTATTAACATTTAAATTATTTAATATTTCGGCCATCTTCTATAGTCATATTAGGAACTCTCTGTTTTTTTTAAATAAAATTAATTAATACCAAAATTAATTAATACCAAAATTAATTAATAAATATTGATTTTCAGTGAAGATAAAATATTCACATAAAGTGAACTATCCTTTATTCATATTTAGATAAAAATTTAGTATAATTATTTTGCAAGGTCTTGATGTCGAGTTGTTTATTAGCATCTGAGCAGCAAATATAGAGTATTTGTCTTGTATTTTGTCCTTTGGTTTTTCTAGGGTTTCAGCTTAATTTGAAGCAGAAGAGCTCAAAATCAAAAATTTTTCTCTTCATACAAATTAGTAAAAATGCATTTAATCATTATTTCATTGTATTTCGTGACGTCATATATGCAGATGTGCAATTATATTATAATACTAATTTCACAGAATTTACTATATTATTATTTTTATTAACCACATAATTTCTATTATAAATATTACAATATCTCCTAACATATTGCATTGCGCCCTTAAGATCTGTTGAGTCTCTTGCTTGGACTCGAAGTGATTGGCTAAGTCCTATCTCTTCAATAAATCATAGTATTTGTCTTCTTCTTTAAAGTCTTAGTTTATCATTAGATGTATGTTAGGTGTATCCACCTAACACCTCCTTTCGTTAATGATTTAGTATGGGTAAGCTTTCTAGCATGTGGTTCGTGGTTTCCTCCTCCTCCGCAATTTACACATATACTGAAACGGAACTTAAATAAAATCATGAATTATTTCTTAATTTCTATTCGCTTTGAAGTATTTAAACATTTCGCCCCAATTTTTCGTTTGAATTTATGTCTTTAAATTTTTTCATTCACAATGTTGCAGAAAAGTGCAATGGCCCCTGCAGAAAGGGCGTGCAAGCGTAAAATTTATGTGTGCATCATCGTGTGTGCGGAATTGAAAGGTGCAAATGTGCAAATGTGCAAATTCAAAGAATTAAGGGTGTTAAGTGTCAAAAAGAGGTTAAAACTCGCAATTGTGTATGTTAAACTTAAACTAGCAAGTTTTCACTTTTGTCATTTATTTTACACGTTCTTCTTTTTCAGCACTTTTAGCTTCTTTTTGCACTTTTGTTTTTGGCACCAATCTCTTCTTTTTTATTTTATTTATTCCAAGTTAAGAAAAGTTTCTCTATGGCATTTGTGTAAATGTGCTGAAGATAGATGAAAATCGTTTGGTTAAGGATTATTGAGGTCAAATGAGTCAGCAAAAGTTTAACTTCAGTTAAATGCCGCAATGAAAGGAATTTTTGGTGAGATTTAAATTATATGAAACAAAGAGTGACTGAGGCTGAGATCTAACAATTGCACATACCATACTTCTATACACTTTCCCACACTTTTATGTCTATATACACGTTCACAAAAAATCACATCGAAATTGAATAAGTAAATTATTTCTTTAAGATTGTAATTTAAAGTTAACAAATCTACTGAATTGGTTGAGCCCTGGAAGCCTTGGAATCTTCATGAGTGCATGTTTGTGTAGAGAATGGACTGACTTCATTGAAATCACTTCGCAACGACGTACACATGTGAAGTTTAATACAATGTATTTTTGTTGGTTAAGGTTATGCTATTTTAAGGGTGAAGTGCATATATGTCCTTTGGAATTTGTTTTTCTCAAATATTTTTGCTGTCATAAATTTTGTGCAACAACATGGAACTTGCATTTTTTATATAACGAAAGCGCGTGACCACATTTTTCATTTGCAATTTCTCCAATCGAGTTTGTTGCTGACATTATTTCAATATGTTGTCCACTCTACATATGCTCCATTCCATCATATCACGCCCCTGCCAGTATATAACCACGACGTTTCGACATGACTTGCAATGCATAAAACAGTCGCTTGGCATACGGTACGATGGGATCGGGGTGTATGTATTATATTCTATTTTAGAGGAATGTTTTCTTTTAGTTTTGTGTCCGAACGAGAGATGTATTGGCTTTTTTTTTTGTCGTGAAATCGCTCACTCAACTCGGTCCATGCTTGTTTTTTACACAGCAAAACTGGGTACTAAAAAGCCGAGCTTGTTAAATGTCATGTCATGTGGCCAATTGTTTTATGTTAACAAGTTGTGCAGCACTGACTCTGACAACTTTGTTTTTGTTGAATGTCAGGTTTAAGTGTGTATGGAAATGTTTGTTGTTCTTTTAAAAAATTGCTTTGTCTAAATTTGATTTTTAGTGGTCTGCGATAATTGAAATTGCGGTTGTTAAGCTATGCTTTTCACTGACTACTCACGTAGCCAAATGACATTTTCTAACCACTTTCGCAAAGTTAAAAGCTCAAAGAGGTTTCTCATGTCGAACAAAAACTATAATTAACAAGAATTTATGCCACAGGTTAAACAATTTGCCGTTCAATTGCATATTGTCTCTTTCAAAATTTTCTGTTTATGCTCCCATAATAATACAAACTCATAACTAGAAAAATATATAATACTTTGGTATACGACAAAACTCGAAAAAGGACAAAATAATAAACATTCATTGCACATTTCTTGATT